TAAATATAAAATTTTATACCCATTCGTCTTGAAGAGCTTTAAGAATAGCAGGAATACTGGTGGCTGAAGGAGGACGAGGTTTCACAACTGAAGGAGCTGAAAGGTATTCATATAATAAAACATTTAAATATTCATTAATAATCTTCAAGAATCATCAAGAAAATAAAACTTTCATTTTAATATTCATAAAGTTTGTGAATAGCATTTAGTTAAAAGCAATAAAAATTATACAACAAATATGTGTAGTCTTCAACCTATATCCAGCGTGAAAATTCCAAACTAATATCGGCAAACGCTTTCGATGCCCCTCCTGGACTCTTCTTCAGGCCAAATTTAATGCACTGGATTCTTAAATCGAATATTTTTAAATAAGAACGTGCCCTGTTACCAGAAGCTCAAATAAGGAAGATAATCACGTGCCTTTCCGAATTATAATTTCTTTATCATTTATATTCGTGGAGATATGTTGTGTGCATCTTATAATAATCTCGCGTATTTTATAATCACATGCCGTTTCTAAAAATAATTTTAACTAGTGGAGATACGATCCCATAATATTCTGGTGTATCGTACTATCATACTAGTGGAGTGCGCATCCCATAATATTCTGGTGTATCGTATAATAAATTACGATTCATCCTCCAATAAATACTGCCACGCTGTTGAGAGATTCATTTCTTCTTTAAGATTGATGCAGGTTAGTTTGCAATCTGCTTTGTAAATTTCCATCGCTTCCAAAGTTCTTAGATGTTCATGATTACGAGTGGTGTGGATGACCCGTGCCTTATTAAAAATCGGGGTTATGTCTGGGTTTGTTGCATATGTCGACAATGCTGTCGTATATTTGTTATGGGTGATGTCTGCTTTATGTTCCTTTATTCTGGTGGCTAACGGACACTTAGTGGACCCTATGTAAATTAGTTGCCTTTGCCATCTATCATCCATTAAGGGAATGGTGTATATTCCCGATAGCCGCATAACCGTGGTCTTTAGCGACATCTCTAATATACGCTAATTCTTGTTGTAGAGCGTAGGTCATGGAAGAGTGGGAATAGGCCCTTTCTACCAAAGTCCTGAATGCCGCTATTTTGTAAGAGTACGGGTCACAGGAATTGATGGGTATGTACAATGGTATAGTTGTGGGTTTTCTATAAACTTTTGTTTGTATTGTTCTTTCTTTAATTTTAATTTCTATATTCAAGAAGATATAGAAATTTTTTCTTCACTATGCTGCTCTAATTCCAAATAAAGGCCATAAGGGTTGTTGTTCATGGCTGTCTTAAATTGTCTTAGGTCTGGCGGTGTTTTCCAGAGAATTATAATGTCATCTATATACCTACCATACATGATTATATTTGAAAGAAAGAGTGGTAGGGTTTTGGTTTCTAATGCCCTAATTACCATTTCGCACAAGTCCCCAGATAATGGACTTCCCGTGGGTACTCCTCTCTCTTGTGCATATATGTTTCCTTTGAACTGGAATACCGAACTGTAACAGGCTAGATGGGCCAATTCCAGTATATCTTGGTGCAGATTAGTATCATTTACTTTTTCTATGAGGAAATCTCTTAGTGCACAAAAACAAGGTTGTATTTTTATCGAGGGGTATAATGATCTAAAATCCCATACTGTGGCGTATCCTGGCTTGTTTATGGTTTTGAGTTTTAATATCAATTCTTTTGGATTCGAGATATTGAATCGGTAGTTTACTAGATGTG